CCCGCAGGAGCGGGGCCCTGTGCCTGCAGGCGGCGTGCCGCGGGTACCTGGCACGGCAGAGGTAACACCTTGGGGAAAGAGGAGCGTGCTTTTGGTGATGCTCACACTGGTTTGGTGTGAATCAGGGCACTGCAGTGACTTACACAGGGCAGTGTCCCCTCGTGGATCCGTGACCCTCTCCTGACCTGCCCTGGGCCTTTGTTTGCCCACGCTTTCTAGCAATTTAGCTGCACGTCCTGCGCTTGGAATAAGCAGAGCCTATTTCAGGTTGGAGCACGTAGGCAGTGCAAAGCCAAGGCTGTAAATACTCACAAGGGTTTTTTTTTCCTCTTGGCAGCAGCACCAGTTTAAGTAGCCTATTTTTAACTCAGATTGCCTCACCAATCTGGTTGCTGCGCTGGCTCACAAGGACAAGGGAACCGGAGCCAGCCGCTGTGGAGGGCACAGGCTGTCCAGCCATGCCTCAGCTCGCTGGCCGGGGGGCAGGTCACTATTCACTCCCCAGAGGTGCTGCCTGCAAGGTGTGGAGCACCTTAACATCCCTTGGAACATTTGGGAGCTGCAGGGAGCTCTTGGTGCTGGGCACAAGTCCCTGCTGAGTTGTTCCAGATGCAGTCCGGGCAGGATGGCGAAGATGGAGAAGCCAAGGGGGTGTGATGGGTTAAGCTTTTCTGGCTCTGACAGCTTATGAAGGAGCTAGAGCAGGGATGGAGGCTGGACCCGCTGCCGTCGGCACCAGGGGAGCTTTCAGGTGCGTTGGGGCAGCCCTTTGGTAGCAGAGATGGCAGAGGAGGAGATCTAAAACTGACTGTGCCTGCCTTGTCTTGCACCAGATGTGCAAGGAGGGTTCTTGAGATGCTGGTGGTGGTGAGGTGCTGGTGGTGGTGGTGATAAGACACCACTTATGCAGTGTCTTGAAGGGTCCTGAGTGGATGCAGGGCTGAATATCCTGGTTTTCTGCTTTCTTCCAGGTTTAGAGCTTTGAAAGAGCACCAGTTAAAAGAGATGCAGCTGGAGAATGGCCTGGCAGGTAGAGAGGAGGATGGACTGGAAGCAGATGGTTTGGAAATCAAAGGCTCTGACCCATCTAAGTGGGAGGACAGCTCATTTGAAGAGCGAGTGAGAGCTGTGGAACAACATAAATCACTGATGGAGAATAATCGGGTGAATCACATGGACCCACTGGACACTTCCCTGTACAAAAGGCATGAGAGAGCCAGCAGCCAGAGCGGGATGGACACCGAGGAGGAGATCATCGTGAGAGAGAGGCCCAAGTCTCTGGAGGATCTCAACCAGAAAAAAGTGGTTCGTGCCAAGAGGGAAAGCCGGAGGATGCGGGAGCTGGAGCAGGCCAAGTTCAGCCTGGAGCTGCTCAAGGTGCGCTCCACGGGCGGGCTGTCACCCTCAGAGGAGCAGCGCTGGTCCACGGAGCTGCTGCCTGAGGCACTGCATTCCCCTCAGGGAACCCCCGAGAGCGAGAGCTCCCAGGGCAGCTTCGAGTTGTTAAGCAGTGAAGATACCTCAAGCAGTAAACTCGTTTCCTTAGTCTTAGATGAGCATGATACTCCGTCATTTCCCGTGGACTCCCTGCCCAGCAGTCCCCAGGCTCAGCTGCAGGAGAAGCCTTTCTGTGCCGGGGATGGGAACAATGATTTGCCCGCCTGCAGGCAGACCCCAGACACGGTGCTGCCTGATAACCTCACCAGGAAGGAGCACGGGGTTGGTGACCCCCAGAATGTTACCAAGGCTCACCCAAGAGAAACCCTCCTTTCCAGCAACCTCCCCACTTTCTATGTTCCACCACAAGACAATGTAAAGGGGAAGATGGTGGAGAATAACCTGAGGAATAAAGCAGTGGAAAGAGAGGAAAGGACAGTTGTGCTCTCTGAGGTCAGGAAGGACTCTGAGCCAGACCAGGGTAAAGCCTTGGAAGAAGAGGAGGAAAAGGATAAATCCTCTACCAAGAGAGAGGAACGTGGGACAGTGACAGCAGCACGGGCCCTTTCTCCAGGTTCTGTCATTAAGAGACTGGAAAAGCTCAATGTGGAGAAGGAGGAGCGGCAAAAACAGCTTCAGCTGCAGAATGAGAGGGAGATGATGGAGCAGATTCGTCAGCAGAAGGAAATTCTGGAGAGACAACGCAAAGCCTTCGAGCAGCAAGGGAGGGTAGAGGCTTTGCAGAGGACAGAGCAGAGCAGAGTGAAGGACCCTTCCCTCAAACCAGCCAAAAAACCAGACAGCCGGCCTCAGTCCGTGCTCATCCTGCACGCCCAGGGCCGAGGGGAGCACAGCCCCAGCCCAGGCGTGGCCCCAGCCCCAGCAGTGGACATCAAGGGTCTCACTGTTGGCACCAGGGGAAGCTCTCCAGCACACAGTGCCCCCAAAGAGCGGCCTGTCAGCATGTTTGTGGAGAGAAGAGAAGGTCTGGAGCCCCGCTGCCATTCCAAGCCAGCTCTGGACCCCAAGGACCACCCAGGCAGCCATTTCTCAAGGACTGAGCGCCTCCGGCAGCCTCGGATGCCCAGCCAGGCCACTGAGGAGACGCGGGCAAGCTCCATGTTCTTCACACCAAAGGACAATCCCTTTGGCCTCCAGTGAGTAAAAAGATGGTGGGCTTTCTCCCGTGCTTTCTCCACAGGCTTTCTCTGCAGGCTGTCTCCATAGGCTCCATGGGCTCTTTTTCTGCTAGGGACCTTTTCGTACAAAGAGTCCAGAACAAACCTCGTAGTTAAACAAAGGGTTCTTGATCTTCTAGCAACGAGGAGGTCAGAGGGAAAGGAAAAAGACCTGGAATATGATTTCTCAGGCTCTTAAAACATTATATAATCATGGACATGAGCAGGTGAAGAGAGTCAAAAAGCAGGCTCACTACTGTTATTATTTACCCTACATGAATGGGGATAGGAGTTTATTTCTCAAGGTGAAACATGATGAGTTCTTAGGATTTTTGGGTAGTTGGAATAGAAATGACTTGATGAGGCAGAAAATTCCAGGATTTTCCTTGTTTACCTTATAATTAATCCAGCAAAGCCGTGTGGACATTCACCATTGCAGATGAAAAAACACCAGCTCTCCAGAGAGAGCGTGGGAGTGAATGCTCCTTGGAGACTCTGTCATTCTCATATGTAATTAACTACACCTGTAATGGACTTAGCAGTTACTCAGCTCCATTGCTTTGCTTAACCTTGGGCTGCTCCAGGGTCTGGAGATGGCAGCAAGATCCTGGGACAACATTTGCTCCCACTCTGTTCCTTATGGTGCCTTGCCTATTTTGGGGTGGTTTTGGCCATGTAGCTCAAAAAGGATATAAATCACCCTCCTCCTAAATCCTGCTGCACCCTTTCCAAGGCAAAAGCTCCCAGTGAATGACTGTTGGTAACTCAAGGTACCTCCAAGTGTAGTATTCTTGTGGTTTCTGTGCAAATGTGACAGGAGAGGATTCCTGTTGAAAATTTCTTTTCCTGGTTCATGTGCAACATGAACAAGCAACAGGAAGAAAAAGACATTAAGAATTGCTGTATTTTAAGTTTTGCTCTGCAGCAGAATAGTCACATTTGAGAATCCCAAAGTACAAAGATACAATCCTTAACCACCTTGCTGTATAAAGTTGACAGTCAGAACGTTTTCTCTTCTTGTCTTTTGGTATTAAGTCCAGTCCTGAAGAATTCCAAACAATTCTGAAACCCCATGACCTCAGACTTGCAATTTAGTCCTGACTGCTCGGACTCCCAGGATCTGGGCTAGCACGGTGGGAAGGCTTTTGGGAGAGGATGAAAGATCTCTGTTCTCTTGTGTTTCAGCAGAGAGGCAAATCATCAGTGCCTTTCCAAGGGTGAAACAGCACGGAAGCCATTTAAGATGCCAGGGTCTGGCAGAGGAGAGGTGAGTTGTGACTTGTTTATTTTCTCTTTCTATTGAAAAGAGCAAAAAATAACTTAGTTGGCCAGTTTTCTCTCAAAAGCTTCAAAGCAGTGAACTCTGAAGCACAAGGGCCGCCAGACATGGGAAGGAGGATATGGCAGCACAGTAACCTCCACACCTTCTCTTGAAATGGAAACCCTGTAGGAATAATTTGTAGCAGCTCTGGATAAAAGGATCTGATGATCCTGATGGCAAACACTGTCCAACGCCGTCTTGTCTTGGTTTGGTTTAACGTCTTCGTTTCAGTGACACCCATGATTGTCCATTTTCACCGTCCTGTCTTAGTTTTTGTTCTTCCTGGTGCTTTGCTGTTTTCACTAGACATTATACTGCATCCCCTCCATGGGGTGCAGTGGCACTCAGAGATGTCTTGAGGCTACACGGGTAGAGTCTCCTTTTTACTTTAAAACCCTTCTTTTCGTTTTGTTTTGTTTTGTTTTATCCTTTGGTCAAGCAGGTGCCCAGACTGAGCCATAAAAAGAAAGCCCGCATGGCGCGGACGCGCTCCGATTTCTTGACTAGAGGTACTTTTGCTGATGGGGAGGGGGATACGGAGGAAGAGGATTACGATGGCAGTTTTGAGCTCCTTCTCTCCTCTGAGCACCCTCCTCACGCCGAGGCGGTGCCCGCAGCCCGCCTGGGGCAGGCCTGTTACAGTGACTCCGAAATGGTAATTGTGTCCAGTGTGGTGGGGGAGCCTTTCTTCGCTAACCTTAGCTGCACTCATCCCTCCACTGCTTCTTTTCCCACTCCCAAGGATGCTGTAGATGGGTACATTCGGCAAACACAGCAGAAAATCATAGATTCGCAGAATCGCGGAATGGTTTGGATTGGAAGAGACTAAATCTCAATTCCAAACCCCTTCCACTAGACCAGGGTGCTCAGCGCTCCATCCAAGCTCTGTTTCTTGCTCCTGGGCTGATTAGATATCCACCACACTTCCCATAGTTTTCCTGGAGCATTACAACTTGTATTGCACAATTACCTGTTTTGGGGGCTTTAACCTCATCCTCCCCTTGGAAGCTTTTGATCTAAAAATGGCCTATACACATCTGTAAAAAAAGAAAGTAAATATTGTTCAAAGAGCAACAGACAACAAAATTATGTAAATCCTGTGGCTTCTTTTACTTTTGATTTTTTATGCTTAGCCACAATATCCAATGGTTACTTGCTCCTCAGTTATCAGAGTGATGCTGGCAGACAGCAGCTCAGAAAAAGCACAACCATGGAAATTGGGCAATGAAAGCATAACGAGAGTGAAATAGTGGGTTATGAAACAAAGACAACCAAGCAATGTGTTTTTTCCAAGCACAGTGACAAGTATCCCTTAGCAGGTCTGACATGAGCCAGTGCAGTGGAGCTTTTCCATCTCAGACTTAATCTCCCACCCACATAAGCTGCTTTTGGAAAATCACAAACTGAGAGGTTCCAGAAGTGGAAGAGGCCGACAGATTCCAACCCGCTCCTAATTTTTTTCCTGAGCTAGTGGAGATGTCCCCATAGGAGTGTGGATCAACAGCAGGAATCCTGTCCTGCTGTGAGAGTTTGGGTGGAGTGCTGGCTAGGGCTGCCATGTTCCTCTGCAGCTGCAGCACAGGATGTGGAGCTGAGTATAAAACCAAAGAAAAGCATGAAACCCAAAGACAGAGATTTATTTTGTGCCACAGCATTGATGTGTGTCCGGCAAACATCCCGTGCCATCCTAAAAGCTGCTTTTCCAAGAAAAGCAGGTGGTCAAGGAGGGCTTTTCATGACTTTTCTTTTAGCAGCTCTTATTATAAACGATAATTTTTCCCAGGATAATTTCCTCACTGGAAGAGGGCAGAGATTTACAAATTCCATAATTTTTTTAAACCTACTCTTGATAAATTTGCTGGAGGGTTGAGGCAGGAATTCTGAAAACCTGATTGAAAGGCACATCTCCGTGGGCTGAGATAATCTGGCTGCACCTTTATGCAAGTCCCTGCTTGTAGATTGGGAAAGGGAGATTTTTATGCAGTAAAATGTACTTTTTTACATAGAATGGTAGGAATATTTAGGTTGGAAAAGATCTCTAAGATTGTTGAGTCCAAACACAAACCCGGCACTGCATTGTTTACCACCAAACCATGGCCCCCTGTTCCACACCTGGAGTGCCTTGCTGTGCTCCTGGAGGCTGTACAATGTACAAAGGGAATTGTAGCTGTAGGAATCATTTCCTCTGGGCTGTGAAAAGTGCTGGTGCTTGGCAAGCTCCACCTTTGGGAGCATCCTGGGTCACTGTACTCCTTGGAAGTGCTCCTTGGGACTCTGCTCACCTGGTTTAACAGCTCTCACTGCATGCCAGTAGCAGTAGGTGCCACCTCTCTCCTGTCTCTGCTGTGTCCCCCCTCTCCTCTGCTCTCCAGCTCTGGTTCTCACTGGTGGCCAGGGCTTTCCCCCTGGTGTGGTAAGTTCTGCTTCCTAGGCCAACACTGCCCCTGGTGTCGTGTGCTCTGCGCTACCCTCCCTCTGTGTGTCCTGACAATGTGTCCAGTGTTTCCATCTGTGTTTTGTATTGCAGGTTTGGGAGCAGCCCTTTGGCTTAGGGCTTTGTTGGGTCAGGATCATCACAAGTAGCAAAATTTAGGGACTGTTTATTGGTATTTATTAGCAGAGCCCAGTTGGGTGTTGCAGATGGCAGAGCAGCCTGGGATAAAGCTGGATGGTGCCTGTTGGGGTGTTTTTGGGTACAAACACAAAGGGACAGAGGGTGATGTCTGTGCAGACACATTGGTTGTGTCTTGTGATAGTCACATGCAGGCGAGCCTGGCTGCTCCCTATGCCAGTGAATAGCTCCTTCAGACAGCTCCTGCCTCCAGCTATGACTCCCAAAGCAGCCTCTGTCCCTGTCCTGCTGCTGCCTGGATGAATGGGATCCCGTGCAGCCCCATGGAGCCGAGCACATGATGGGTCACCAGCTGCTCTGCCTGTTCCGCCCATTTTTTTCTCGGCCATCAAGTCACTGACTGTGTAGCCCAGCTGGTGAGTAGAGGCCACTGGAATCCAGTGCTGCTGACCCACATCCAGGGTATTCCAGAGCATCAAACACCCACAGCATCTGCAGCTGGAGCTGAAACCCATGGGGCAGCAGTACATGAGGTGGCTGCTGCAGGTACAGTTGACTCTAAGGTTCTTTAAGGAGTAAGGGCTTCCTGACAAGACCAAGATTGAAGATTTTTGGCTGATGAATAGCCAAGGATCAACCTACCATGCAGTGAGACACAAGTGGGAGGAACAGCTCCTGGCTGTTCTGCCAGTACGTGTTAACACCACTTTTGTTTGGTGCCTAAGCCTGGAGAGCTTTTCCTGGAGCAGCTGCAGAAATGGAAGGCCTTGGCTAGAGGAATCACACCAGAAATACCCTCTGGAAACATCCTTAGAGAGTGGGACCTGGATAATGAACCAGCTGTTTTGCTCCACCCTGCACACAAAAGCCATGAATTGACAAACATGACTCCAAGTACCTGCCACCAGCTGATCCCAAGCACTGCTGAAGAGCCAGCAATGAAAGAAGATCTCTTGTCCTAAGCCATTCAGAGGCAACTTCAGGAAGTTTTTCCATGCAGCACACAGCACTGCTGCCTGCTGGGATAACTCTTGGCCATAGTTACCTTATGGGTGGGTGAAACACAGGTTACTCTGTCAGAGGAAAAATATTTGGTCCCTTCCTCAACCAGGAGACAACTTCAGACTCCCAGTTATTGCCATTTGCCCTCATGATGCTTTGTGGTGTTCCCTAGCAGGGGGTTTTCTGGTGCAGATGCTCATCTTGACATCTGAGAAGGTTTCCCATCCTTTCCCTTCAGAGTTTCCTGGCAGATAACCTCAAACAGAAGGATCTTGTGCCAAAAAAAGCCTTTTAGTCTTTATTTACTAAAACCGGAAACCCAAAAGGTTGAAATTACTCAAGAACAAAACCATACTGGTAGGGTAAATATTTAAGAGATCATTTTTAAAACAAGTAGTAGGTTTGAGCTGGATGGAGATCACTTTTATAGGTTTGAATTGCTTTTATCACAGTATCCATCCACAATTTCTGTGTGATCATCACCTAAATGTAAGAATGACAGGAACAAAATCTCTTTCATGGTTTAGGCAGTCCTGGCTTTCCCAGTGGTGATTTTGCCTTGCATGCTGCCATCTCCTGGATGGAAGAGATGTTAGTCTGGGGGAGGGAGGGAATAAAACATGGAAAAAGAGTCAATATGGCAAATGTGACCCCTCTGCAGCCTACTTTTTATAGAATTTTATTTAAATATTTTTAACAGAAGTAAAAAAATTGCTTTAAAACATAGAGCAAGTCAGTTGAGACATTGAGGTGATAGAAAGCTACAGGAGACATTTGACCATCATCTCCCAAATCCTTTCATACAACCTGATTCTCCACTTTTCTTATGCTGAAAGTTTCTCCTCCAGGGGTCCAGTTCCCAAATCACAGCTGCAACTGGAAAATAGAACAAAAATTTAGATATTTTTTAAATATGGCAAGTCTATTTCTGGGCTATTTCATGGGATCCTGTGAGGTTGAGTTACTGCAAATCCAACCCACCCTTAAAAATTACCTGAGGGCATTTTAAATGATGGCAAAGGTGGAGATATTTTCTATTAAAGCTGCAAAATTTCTTTGTTAAAGAGTTCCTTTTGGTGTGTCCTTGGCACAAAGACTTTGGGTTTTTTTTGTGTAAAGTGCTCAGCAAGAGTTGGAGGAGGAACTTCTGCTGGGACAGATCCGGGTGGCTGAAGGTTCCCTTGGGAATCACATCATTGTGGCTAACAGGACACTCTGGGTGGAGAGCTGGAATGAAGTCTGGATGAAGATGTGGAAGAGCTGTGCAGGCTGAGCAATAAGGACCTGTGGCTTGGTGCAAACTGATTTTCATCACCAACTGCTCAAGGAGAAAGAAGATTGGGCCTGGTTGGAGAGCTGGAGCAAGGGAAATGCCTCTCTTTCTTAGGAGTCATTAAAATATTTCTCTAGGGGCTCACCAGGGCTGTAGGTTTTCAGCTGTAGGCAAATAGAAATGAAGATGTAGGAGGTAAAATACCTGATTTTTGATAGGGAAAAAAATCAACTGATATCCCAAGAGCTGTCTTATTTTTAAATGCTTCATGCTTGGAATCGTTACAGACCGTGCAGCGATTCACCTCCGGGGAAGGCCAGGCCAAACTGCACAAAACCATGTCCCAGGGGGAGATTGGGAAGCTGGCAGCCTCACAGAAGAGTCTGACTCCAGATGGGAGGTAAGGAATCATGGCTGGAGGTGGCAGACAAGTCCTTCTGTGTCCCTCTTGCTCTGCAATGCCTTGTTGAGCCCCCCAGGCTCTTGGAGCTTCGTCTGCAGCATGAGTTACCCATCCCACCTTTTCCACATGACCATGGGCAGGCCCAATCAGTGTGTGTGTGGCTCACACCACAGTTAAGTGTTGGTGACATGGGCCACATGTCCTGTCCCACTCCCATGCATGCAACTGAAGTTTCTCTTCTTTGCTGAGGATGAGGAGCCACACTTCCCTGGTAGAAATTGCATGGATTTATCTCCTCAGGAATGTCCAGAAGGTTGATGTAGTTTTGGGTAGAAAGACCTTTCCTAGTAAGGCAGTTCCTATTTCCATGGCTTATTTCCAGGCCTCAGCGAGCCAAGATGAGGTTTTGGGTGAAGGGAAAGCAGGGGGAGAAGAAGACCTCCCGGGAGAAGCTCGCTACCCAGTCTGAGCTGCTGGAGCTGTACGCGGAGCAGGAGGCCCCTGGCAGGGAGACCATCCCTGGACTGCAGCTTGGTGAAGGTACGTGGTGGGGGGACACGGGACCAGGTGTAAGGAGAGAGAAACTGGGCTGGAAAACTGGCATATGTCCATGCTGGTTTATGTCTCTTAATTCGTGGGTGGTGTCAAGCCAGAGCGATGGCAAGTAGGTTAGAGCATGGGATCCGTAATGGATCTCAAGGAATTCCATGTCACTAATCCTTCCAGCCACATCTGGAATGGACAGATGTTTCGTCTCTTGAGGGAGGACGTAACCAAAGCAGAAATGACATTTAATCTTCCTGTGAGTTCTACACTGTGCTTTTCTCTTCCACAGGTTTCTTCCAATGCCCTGTTTTAGTGTCACAATTATTTCTCATCTGCTCCTCAATCTCTTCCCCTCTTTTCGTTGATCACCAGCAGAGCTGGGCCCTCACCACCTGACGCCCCCGCGGAGCCCGGAGCTGTCGGGCATGTACCGGCGGGAGTTCAAGGAGAACAAGGAGCCCTCTCCCAAGGTGAAGCGCAAGCGCAGCGTCAAGATCAGCAACGTGGCTCTGGAGCCCGTGCAGTGGCAGAACGACTCCCTGCAGATCATAACCAGTGCCAGCGACCTGAAGAGCATGGATGAGTTTCTCCTGAAAAAGGTAACTCACTGCTCCATCCATCAGCACAGAGATCCAGGAGCACACAGAGGCAATAAAGTAAAAACGATCGAGTGGGTAGCTGTAGTAATGCTAATAATTCATCTAAGGGTGCCAGGGCAGGTTTAGAGAAAGTTCTGGTTTTCATGCAGGAGATCACCTGGTGATCATGGTGGAGCAGCTGCTTCTTAGTGCTGCTTCATCTCACACCAGCCCTGCTGCAGCAAAAGAGTGTAAAAGGTGTAAAAACCCCTTGTTTTCCCAGATGAATGAACTGGACAACGAGGATAGCAAGAAGGACACGCTGGTGGATGTCGTGTTCAAGAAAGCACTGAAGGAATTCCGACAAAACATCTTCAGTTTTTACTCCTCAGCATTGGCAGTAAGTGACCAGATGATGGGTAGGACTTCCACCTCCAGGAGAAAGGGGATATTCTGGGTCCTCCTGGTTGTACAGGTGTTGCCAAGCCCTCCATTTCTGGTTTGCTCATCCCAAAGGATGGATGTGCTTCCTTTGTATTCAGTCGTATGATGTAAATTTGGACTAACACTTCCTCCTGAGCCATCCCTCAGGATACATTGGGTGTAGATTCCTGATCTTCATTACAGCTCTGCTCCCAGCCAAAGGGGAGATGACAGAAAGTCAATTTGTCACCCAAAGTGTCTGGAAACCTTTGTGTTACCTTTTCTGGTGGTGGAGATGATCCTTTTTTCCTTCTCTGTATCATATTGGAAGTTTCCCCAAGCAGCTGGAAGCTGGTGAGGCTGAAATAATTGTCTGAAAAATAAAAAGTCTCTGGAAAAATCTGGGCTGTATAAAAATCACTTTTTTTTTTTTCTTCTGTTCCCTTAAAAGATGGACGATGGGAAGAGCATCCGCTACAAGGACCTGTACGCCTTATTTGAGCAGATTCTGGAGAAGAACATGAGGCTTGAGCAGAGGGACTGGAGTGAGTCTCCAGTTAAAGTCTGGGTCAACACCTTCAAAGTCTTCCTGGATGAATATATGCACGAGTACAAACCCCTGGACTACACTGCAGGAAAGGTACTTGGCACTTTGCTTAAACTCCCTTGGAGGTTTGGGAGCTCTATTTCCATGGGGCTGTGCCCCTGTAGACACCTGGGACCTTGTGTTGTCTTCTGTGCTTTAAGCTGAGCTGGGCAAGGCAAGGTGTGACTCACTGGCTGTGTGTCACTGGGCTCAGCCAACCCCAGGCCACCCACACTGGGCTGCCAAGGACTAGATGTCGTTTCCAGGGCAAAGCTGCAACCAGCTGTGGATGGTTGGAAAGGCAGCTCCTGGTGCTTCTTTAGTTCTGGGGGGTTTGTTCAAAATTTGAGGGATGCTGGAAGAGATACACCCTCTTGGGTCTCCTGACCGCTTCCCAAGTGACCATACACATCACCATGGGCTGGGTTGCAGGAGAAGGGGACAGGAGCAGTGGCTCAGGTCTGGGTACCACTCTGAGAGCAGAGAGAGCCTGCGCTGTGTCACAGACCTGATCTCACCTCCTGCTCCACGTTGTCTGCAAGGCCCACCATGGGATCTGAGGCTGGGCTGGGAGATGGTGTCTATTGTACAAATATCCCATCTCCTGCCTCTTCTGCTCCAAGTCCTCTCCAGCCTCTTCTGCAGGCAGCTTCTCTTCAAAGCATCATGTTTTCCTCAGGTCACTGCTGGTGGGGTCAGAGCTGGAGCAGCAGCTGCTCCCAGCTCCAAGATGGAGCTTCTTCCTCTTCTTCAGGGAAGAACTGTCTAGGGAAATTCCAAAACTGGAGTGATCCATAGGAGAGTTTTCTAGAGTGACTCCTCTGGGGCTGCAGGTGCACTGGGAAGGCACTGGACAATGTCAGATATGAGCCCTCTGTACTCTTTACCTGGCAAAATTGCCCAAAAACTGAGTTAAATCTCTTTTCCTCACCAGATGCCAAAAACGGAACGAAAAAAGAGAAGGAAAAAGGAAGCAGACGTGGTGAGTTAAACCTGTACATTAAAAAATCAATGTCCTTGGGGCCAGAATGTCAAGAGACCAGCTTGTGACACGTCCTGGGCTGAGATCTGAACATCAGCTCTGAAAGGACATGTTAGAAAGACATTTGAGGTGGCTTTGCTTTGTTTGATCAGGGATCACTTGGGTTGGCTCTGAAAACACATCCCTCATCTGCCAGGACATAAATGTAGTGTTGAGGATTGTTAGAAAAGGTCTGAGAGGAAAACAAAGCCTTGCTCCAGCTTTCTGCATAAATGTACAGTGTGTGTTTTACATCTGTGGGATCAGCCATGGAGGACATTACACCTCCTGTTTTCCTAAGGGATGTGATGGTACTGGGAAGGGTGCAGGTGCAAAGCCAAAAAAAGGGGCCACAGATGCATAGAAAACCTTAACATGAACAAGTTGACCTGCCAAGCTCAGTCAAAGAGTTTCCAACCTGCTTCCATGATGGTTTGGTTCCCCTAACAAGGTGGATGTTGGTTTGGGTTGTCTATGGGGTTGCTGGGCTGAAAAAGGAACAAAAATACCAAATAAAAGCAAGAGCTAAAGGTGAAGAGCTGTGTTCATCATCTCTCCATTTTGCAGCAGGCTGAGCACTGGCTCCCTTTTCTCACCACCCAACCTTTATCCTCCAGGTGGAAGAGCACAATGGTCACATTTTCAAGGCAACCCAATACAGCATCCCCACATACTGTGAATATTGTTCCTCCTTGATCTGGATCATGGACAGGGCTTCTGTTTGTAAATGTAAGCACTCTTTATTTCATCCTTTTCTTGTGCTTCTATCACAATGATGAGTTTGGGGATTTTGAAATGTGTTTACTACTGTTTCCCGCAACCCTGCTCACGTAATTTTGATTTTTCTAACACCTGAAGAGATTTAGGGACAGGTCTTAAGGTTTCTGAAGTCAACTAGTTAATCCATCCCAGCAGTCCTTCCTGACACAGTTAATGAACTTTGTGAAACACATCTTATCCCATCAGGTTTGTGTCTATCTGTCATGGTAGGATGAGGGGAGGATTTAATGCTTCATGTATGTAAATATGGCACCTTTCATTTAAAGGCTTCATTATTTTTGTTTGAGTGGATCTAATCCAGACTTGGCCCCTGGAAACAGGCAAATGCAGCATGCTTTTGACTTGGTAGTTCTGAGAAGTGCTGCTCAATTCCTATGAATTCCTGTTTTTCCAGCAGTGTGATTTTTGGCATAATTAAACACTCCTTTTCTCCTTTTCTCTGTTGCAGTATGTAAATATGCTTGTCACAAGAAGTGCTGTCTTAAAACCACGACCAAGTGCTCCAAAAAGGTAAATGTCTCTCGGTGCTTTGCTTCCATTAAATACCTTGAGACAATGATCTCAAGTTTGTATAAAAATTATTAGAGGGGGCAAATCTTGATAAAATTCTGGACATAACCTTACATTTAGCAGGAGCTTAGACCAGAGATCCCCAGAGGTCTCTCCAACCAGAGTTTTGTAGATATTTTGGGAATTATGCGGTGATGAGTCACTGTAGATCTGCCCAGTCATGCAGCAGATGTTGCAGTGTCGTTCCCTGCCTTGTAAGCACCCAGAATAAAAGGAATTTCCCTGGCTTTGTAGCTTTTAAGGGTTTGGAAATGTGGGGTTATTCTTGGAAATACAGGCTTTTTCTCTACAGTCCTTGCTTGCTACAGCTGAGTGAGGAAGGGCAGGTGGAAGATGTTCACAGCCCTCTTTAGAGGGGTTTTAAATATTGTTTACTGGATTTAAGGGTATGGGGAGCAGGGAATGAGTGCAGCAGGTCATCCCAGCTAACAATGAATCATCCAGATTTGGTGGGGATGTTTTAAATAGCTCATTTTGTGCCCAGAAGAAGGACAGAGAGTAACAATAATAATGAGTGGAAAGTTTTATCAGCTCCCTGGGAGGCTTCTCAGGGGAGAGCAACCTCCACAATACACAGCCCCCAGAAAGCTGCATGAGTCCATTTTTCCCAAGGAATAATCTGAATATATATGTTGAATATATATGTGTGTGTGTGTGATTTGTATTCTGGATACATATTTGTATTCTGTATATATACGTTTGTATTTTGAATATAAATAGAACTTCTGCTACAGTCTTTCCCTTTCTGGCACTATTTCTGCAAGAACTGGGGACACCTCATTAGAGTTTGTGCTCTAAAATCTGGGAAGTTCATTGAGATGTCTGATTAATTTTTTCAGGCATTCTTGGAGCTGTGTTCTTTGTTGTGATTTCTCTGCACAAGGAAGTTTTTGTGCTGCATCCCAGGAAGCAAGTTCACTGTGTCTTCATGGGTAGCTTTGCACTGGGCAGTTAGAAGTTCTCTTGGAAGGCTCCAGTTCCTCTGTGCTTGGTGAATTTGTGTTTTTAGGGTTGTTATCATTGACAGGGAGCTAAAAACCATCAGTCATGAGAAAGAAAGAACATGGGGACCTTCCCAGATCTGTTCCTAAGGTTTGCAGGATCAATGACAGGATGACAGTGAGTTGGAGAGAGAAAAATGCAGGAGTGATTGTGAGGGGAGCCACTGCCTTGGCTGGGGCTGAGAATCTGTGTCAGTATTTTATTGGATCTTTGGACTTTTCCCATGCAGAATCTCCTGTGCAGGAGGACTCTGTTCACATTTGAATTTGCCAGATACCAACGCTCCAGTGAGGCTTTGCAGCTGGCAAAGGGCCCTTCCTGACAGGTGTAGATGGGTCTTTTCATGTTCTTTTGTTGGCATCTTTCACTGGTATTTTGTAACTTGCAATTCTTCAAGTTGATTTAAACACCCAAGATTCATTTTTGCCTCTTCAGCTTTGTGCATCTCTGGGAGGTGAAATCATCCCTGGAGATGGTGCCTGAGGGGCAGGAGGTGGAGGAGGACCATGCCCAGCTGCTTTGGCTCTGCCAGGCTGGGAATTTAACTACAGTGGGGTTGGTTAAAGAAAGAAAATCCAAACTTTTTGCCTTCAGGTGCATGTCCAGAGACTGGGTTAGCATTGCAAGACCCACGTCCTGTCTTGTCCTCCTGTGTCACCATCATATTTTCTGAAAATTCCTCTTTGCCCAGGATTCTTCTCCTGGGATTCTGAGACGCCTCAGAGAAAAAGGAAAACAATATTATCTCATTTGCTTCTGTGTCCTGCTGCTTTGGAATGTGGTTGGAGATTGTTTATCCAACATGTGAATTGTTTTAACTTAATGACCAATCTCGGTCCAGCTGTGTCAAGACTCTAAAGAGAGTCATGAGTTTTTCTTTATTATCTTTTAGCCTTCTGTCTGTGTCCTTTCTCTATTCTTTAGTATAGTTTAGTATTATAGCATTCTTTAATATAATGTAGTAACATAAAATAATAAATTAGCCTTCTAAGAATATGGAGTCAGATTCATCATTTCCTTCCTTCGTCAGGGGACCCCGAAAATAGCACACTCCTGTATATGCTGAAGGACTCTGAATAATCAGATCCAAAGCTGCACCAGAATTGCATCTCAGAAGAATTTTAATCCCTTTTTCCCTTTTCCTGTGCAGCATGACCCAGAGATTTCCCCATGGCAGTTTGGTGTGGAGCTGGTGATGGTGTTCACAGGGGTCTGAGGATGAGGGAAGAGATGAGGATCTGACTCCATGTTTCAGAAGGCTTGATTTATTAATTTATTATATATGTAATATAAAACTATACTAAAGAATAGAAGAAAGGATTTCATCAGAAGGCTAGCTAAGAATAGAAAAAGAAAGAATGGTAACAAAAGCTTGTGTCTCAGATGGAGTGTCTAAGCAGCTGACTGTGATTGGCCATTGATTAGAAACAACCACATGAGACCAATGACAGATGCAGCTGTTGCATTCCACAGCAGCAGATAATCAATGTTTGCATTTTGTTCCTGAGGCCTCTCAGCTTCTCAGGAGAAAAAAATCTTAAAGAAAGGATTTTCCATAAAATGTGTCTGTGATTGGAGCTGTCCTGGCTGACCAGCGAGCAGCAGGCGGTGCAGAAGGATTTCAATCCCTTTTTCCCTTTTTTCCCTTTTCCTGTGCAGCACGACCCAGAGCTCTCCTTGAGGCAGTTCAGCATGGAGCTGTCCCGGCTGACCAGTGAGGAGTGGGTGGTGCAGAAGGATTTCAATCCTTTTTCCCCTTTTTCCCTTTCCCTGCAGCACGACCCGGAGCTCTCCCCGCGGCAGTTCGGGGTGGAGCTGTCCCGGCTGACCAGCGAGGAGCGGGCGGTGCCCCTGCTGGTGGAGAAGCTCATCAACTACATCGAGATGCACGGGCTCTACACCGAGGGCATCTACAGGAAATCAGGATCCACCAACAAGATCAAGGAGCTGCGGCAAGGCCTCGACACAGGTCAGGGGAAGGGGGAAAAGATCCAGCTTGGGGAGGAAAATCTCCGCAGCAGCAAAGTTGGATGGGAGGAAGGTGGAATGTTTCAGCATTCCTGACTCTGGGCTGTGCAAGGAATGATTTCACATTGGCAGCCACAACTCAGGTTGCCAGCTCATGGGGTTTTTGGGAGCAATCCACGGAAAAAAGTCATTCTAATTGGGGGAAAGTGCTGCCTTATTTACACCCTAGCAATCATCAGTGAGAAAAGAAATCCTGGTCCCACCTGAAGTTATTTGCCCTGGAAAATGTATTTCTCTCTAATTTTACCATGTGGAGCTGATATAATGTGCTGGATTTGTTGCCATTAAAGGCACATAAACATATTTTATGATAGAACAGTTTGGGTTGGAAGGGACCTTTAAAGGTCACCTTGTCCAGCCTTGGGCTTCATATTGATCATTGTCTCTTGTTCTTTTCCTTCTTGCTTCATCTGGTGCCAACCCAGACATCGATAGCGTGAATTTGGACGACTACAACATCCACGTCATTGCCAGCGTGTTCAAGCAGTGGCTCCGGGACCTGCCCAACCCCCTCATGACCTTTGAGCTCTACGAGGAGTTCCTGCGGGTGATGGGTGAGCAGCTTCCCTCCCATCCCATTCCCTTGGCAGAGGGAAATGGTGGCCACTCTGAGTGCCAAGCTTTTCATTCACTCTTCGGGGCCAAACCAGCTGGTTTTGCCAAATTGTGTTTACCTGGTTTCGAAGTCTGATTTTTTTGGTTATAAAGGGTTTTTTATGCAAAATCTCAGGCATTTTGGTCTCATTTTGGTGGCTTCTGCATCATGGTTCAGCTAGTTTCAGCCCCAAAGTTCTGTCTCCTAAATGGTAAAATTAAGTGTTAAGAAGAACCATTTTAAATAAGAGGAAGAAGCAGAGGCTGCCCCTAAGTGCTGGTGGTTTCTCCACAGGGCTCCAGGAGAGGAAGGAGACCGTGCGTGGGGTGTACTCGGTCATTGACCAGCTCTCCCGCACCCACCTCAGCACCCTGGAGCGCCTCATCTTCCACCTGGTCAGGTATGCTGGGCCTGGGCACCTTCAGGCCAAGGAGCATGGTCAGGTGTCCTTCCCACCACAGCATCTGAGGCTTTTGCACCCACCCTGTCTCCCAGGAGGTGGCCACGGAGCTGTTTGTCCAAGGGATGTTGTGTTGATGAGTGACCTGTGCTGTGCTCTGGTCACTTTGGTTCCTGCAGCCCTGAGGTGCCTCTCACTGCTGCAGGGACGTGTTTGTGGGTGGAAGGGCTGGTTGTTGCCTTGGGAATATCTGAGATGTCTTGAGGATTGTCTTTCTCCCTCAAAGCAAGATTACACCACGGAAATATCATCTCCTCTCTTCAGCCATGACCACGTGCAGGAGGTGCAGTGGAGGTGCCTCCACCTCTGACTTCTCTCTGAATCCCTGCTTTTTCAGGATTGCCCTCCAAGAAGAGACCAACCGCATGTCAGCCAATGCCTTGGCCATTGTGTTTGCCCCCTGCATCCTCCGCTGCCCCGACACCACAGACCCTCTGCAGAGTGTTCAGGACATCAGCAAAACCACCACGTAAGAGCCTGGGGCTGGGTGAGCTGGCTCCACCACCACATCACCATTCACATCTTGGCAACCCCTAGGATGGGCAAAAATTGATGGACCACCCCTAGGATGGGCAAACGGCTCAGAAATTGAGAGCTTTGGCACAAAGGGACAAACACATAGTAATTTATGCATCTAAATGCATCTGCATGAAGATATTTCAAATCCTCTCAATCCCCAAGAAGTTGTTAAATGAGGATTTTCAAGTGATGGAGGATCCCCAAGAGTGGATAAGCTTTTGTTCCTGCCTGGCAGGAAAAGGTGGAGCTTGTGCTGACATGGTTTTATAGCTAATGCAGTTCATTTTTGGCAAGCAGATCTTGATTGTTACTTGATTTTGGCTTTTTTACTGAAGGAGGTGAGTAGTTTGGTCCACAGCAATAGTGTTATTAATATATTTAGTTTTATTTATGGGTTTGCCGTAACTGAAAAGGTTTTACATGGAAAAAGTGATACTTGCCCAGATTTGGTTTGGCTCATGCTAAGTAGGTGTTAAAATAGATCCTGGAGTCAATTACAATAATGAAAACCCTCCAGTGAAGGTCTAGGCTTCTGAAAGGGGTAGTTTTACCTCCAGGAAGTATTAAAATTGTTGAAGACCAGAACATGTTTAAATACCCAGCTGGCAGGAACATCTGTCCTTTAACAGGATTTCATTGTAGCTTCTCCCTCACACTTCAGCTCTAGCACTTCCTTGCATTTTATTTCAAGGAAAGGACTGTGTTTTTCCCCAAACACCCTCCTGACAACATTAAACCATCAGCTCAGTTGCACAAGCTGCTGCAGAGTTACTGTGTGCAAGTGAGTTGGAACCAGCCTGCCTTCTCCAGATTTGTGTTCCACCACTCCCTCTTCCCAGGGGTGTAGATTTCTCTGGTGGGATCCTTGGCCATCTTTAATATCTGTAGGCTGTTCCTCAATCCATCCCTGGCCTGTGATCACTCTTTTTAGGAGAATTCTCACCACCCTCTGGCTTCCAGCTGGAGCTTTCTCCTCCGTGCTCTTCCATCAGGGCAGATCTTCCAAATAATCCTTTCCTTTCCATAATAAAACAAGAGAATGTGCTGCAACTAAGGGAGGAGCTACCACAAAATCCTGTTGAAGGATAAGCCAAGACAAGACAGAGCAGCTCAGAGCAGCTCCAATGGCTTCCTCCTCCCATTTTGTCTTCTTTTGGGTTTTTCCTCCCTTAGTTGCGTGGAGTTAATTGTCATTGAGCAGATGAACAAGTACAAGGCTCGGCTCAAAGACATCAACAGCCTGGAGTTTGCAGAGAACAAGGCCAAGAGCCGCCTCTCCCTGATCCGCAGATCCATGGTGAGATGCCAGAGCCCTGTCTGTCCTCTCCTGTCCTCTCCTTGCCCCTGAAGCCACCCTACCTTATCTTCTCCTGCTTATCCCAGCCTCCCAAACCTCTCGCAAACTCCCACGCCATCTCCACCAGGACAGGGACCCTCAGCCCTGTGGTGGCTCCTCACCTTTGCAGGGAGTCATGCCAAAGCACAAGGAGGTGGGAACAGTCCATGGAAACGTTGTCGCTCCTGCTCAGGTGTTCCTGATCAGCATTTCCACCTTCATTTGAGCTTGTGTGGTCCTGAGTTGAGTCAAGCCTTTCAGTGACCAGCTCAACATCACCCCATGGGTGACCTGGACCATTGTTTTTTGTGCTCAGTCACATTATCTGAACCCAAAATGAGTTGCCCAGAGGCTCTCCCTGCTCCCGCACTGCCTTTTTGGGAGCCTCAAACCCATCTCATTGAGCTTCCATGCTTGCAGGGGGCTGGCAGGCTGTGGATGCCCCTGTGCTTGGCTTGTTGGGCTGCAGGAGAGGGACAAACCTGCTGCAAACGATCAGCACAGGCTTGGGCTGAGGAGCCAAGCTTGGACCCCCCTCTGCTTGGACCTGCCCCTGTGATGCTCAGGGACGCGTTGCTTCTGCTTTTTGGGGATGAAATCCAAGCAGGGGCCGCCCAAGACTGAGTAGCTGGTGCTGCAGAGCTGCCCCACTCCTCTCAGATAACCAAGAAAAAACCTCGAAGTGAGCAAAGCGGGTTTTTGGAGGGGCGGCGGCATGTGCACTCTAACCTTCTGCTTTCCTTTTCATCTCCTCTCCAATCCAGAAGCCCGTACTAATTGCAGTTAGATTTATGAGCATAACCCGCAGTTCAATCCCGGTATGTATCACGGCAGTGCCGCGTCCCTCGTTGTGTGTCACCGTCGCTCATTCCAGCTCTGTCCCACCGGCCATTGTCCCAGCGCGCCTCGGAGCCGCCGTTCCTCCAGCAGGGCCCCCCAGCACAGCGGTGTGGGGCTGGCACTCGGCCATCCCTGCACGCAGCTCCTCAGAAATACGCTTCCCACCTCTCTTCCCTTCCTCCTTACTTTAATTTTCTATTTTATTTCCTTTTTCCATCCTGTGCTTCCCTCTTTTTTACTTTGCTTGACTCATCCCTTCCCTTCCCACCTCGATTTCTCCTCGCTCAGGATGCGTTTCAGCATCAAGTTGCTTTCACAGCGCTGCTGTTTCTGAAGATGGTGAATAAAACCCTCGGCTTGGATGCCTTGGAGACCACGAGGCATCCAAAGGTCTCCTCCACCTTCGTGGAGGAGGAGCACCACCACCCTGAGCACAAGGTCAGGACACCAGGATATATTTGAATGAGGAGGAGTCCAGCAAGTCCTGTATTCCCCAACTCCATCCCAGCTTGAGTTTGAGTTCTGTGAGATGGTGACAGGCAAGAAAAGCACCTGCAGGATTTTGGGAATTCTCATAGGGCTGTTTCCTTTCCAAACAGGCTCAGTCCGTGATAAAAATTCCCTCAGGTTCCCCCCATTCTTCCACATCCATGAGTGTCAGGAGGTGGAGGAGAGCAAAATTTGAGCTCTGCTCCCCTGAGCACAGCATTTCTCAGGGGCTTAACTCCACGAGGCAGTGGGATCTTTGGGATCTGGGGGCTTTTGGCTAATAGGATTCAGGGAGCTGTGCTTCAGCTCAGGAGCCCACGTGAAAAGTGTCATCAGAAGAACACCGGGGCACAGGAGAGGCTTTGCTGACAAAGGAAGATCTCTGAGATGTGGCGTTAAAAGATGAAAGGGCTAAAATTGAGAAAATCTGGCTTTTAAAGATAAAAAGGCAGGATCCCTTATCCTGAAAATCTGCTCTGAGCACATGGATTGTCAGGAAGACCCAGGGATGCTACAGTTGTGGGGGTTATAAATATGGGAAGCAAAACTGAGCAGCAGCAGGCTCTTCAAACCCAAGGAGATGCAGGATTTTCATGGGTGGTGGTCGTCAGGGGAGGACAGGGTGATGGACATCTCCCAGTCCTGGTCGTGTCAGGATCTGGAATGTAGGAGATGAGAAGTCTGGTCATGATAATGGTTAAGATAAAAGCTGTTTAATATCTGCCATGTCCCTCATCCCCAAGAATCCTCCATTTTCCTCTGCTCCATGGAGCAGATCTGTAGAGCTGGTCTCCAGAAGATTTAAACAGTTGCATATATATCTCTCCACCTCTACCACCACCATGTGCATCCTTTTTTGTTTTCAGTTTCAGTATTTAAAAAATGAGATAGTTCTTCAGAGCTGCATTAGATCAGAGTGAGTTCAACTGTGGGCACAGAGATCCACATGGATTGCCTTACAATGGACCACTGGAGGTGGTCCTGGTTCTGGATCTCCTGTAGATCAGACATGGCATGGCATGGACAACACAATTAGGTGGGAGTTCCTGTTTGCTGAAGGGGTCAGTGAGACCCTTGTTATGCTCAGGAAATACCAAGGGTGGATGAGGGAAGGATGTGAGACTTGATCCAAGGATAAAATGGGTTTTATCAGGTGCCCTGAAATCAAAGCCTTGGTGATGCTCCCACCCAAAGCCACCATCAGGCTTCCCATCGTGCAGGCTGTGGGCTTTGTGGGAACCCAGCCTGCTTCTAGCTGGGCTTGCTTGGACCTGGACCAAGTTGCACTTGGTCCATCAGCATCATCCTCACCACTGTCTTCCTCACCACCTCCATCCCCAGCCCCTCCAATGTGTTGAGTCCTTCTGGTACTTCTCCCAGCCTGAGGGCCCGGGGTGCATCCGGCGGCAGCACACAAAGGACCAGGGCCTGGGGCCTTCTTCGCTCCTTGGGAGAGCAGTGTGGTTGGCACCTGAGTGTTTGCCATGTGCCCTCGGCTGTGGTGGTGACACCTTTGTCTCCCTTCAGGGCAAAGGGCGCGTGCGGCGCGGCGCCTTCCCCAGCCCCGCGTCCCCTGTCACCGGCCGCTTGCCCTCGGTGACGGACGTCCCTGAGGAGACCCTGAGCAGCGAGGAGGCCATGGAGATGGAAGTGACAGAGCAGCAGCAGGTGGCCATGCAGCAGGAGGAGAAGGTGCTGACTGAGCAGATCGAGAGCCTGCAGAAGGAAAAGTGAGTCTGGCCCAGGGTTCAAGCCGTGTCCCCAGCCTCTGGATGTTGCTTGATGTCCTGTGGTTGATAACTGGAGGCCTCCAGCCCTCCATGATCTCTCAGTGCATGTGCACCCCTTTCTCCTCTCCACCTTTTTGGTCCCGTTGGTTCAGTGGGGCTGGGTTGGCTTTGCAGGGAGGAGCTGACATTTGAGATGCTGACACTGGAGCCCCGCGCCTCCGACGATGAAACCCTCGAGTCCGAAGCCTCCATTGGCACAGCTGACAGCTCCGAAAATCTGAACTTTGACTCCGAAGGAGCCATCTCCGATCGCTCGGGTAAATCCAGGTGTTCTTGGGTTTATCATGGAGTGGTTTGGGTTGGAAGGGACCTTCAAAGGCCATGGGCAGGGACACCTTCCACCGTGTTTTTCTGTTGGTTTGAGAAGGGTCACTTGGGATTTTCAGGTTTATTTAAAGTCGACAGTTTAAATGTATGCAATGACAGAGGTTAAGGGTTCAAGCACATGGCCCTGGGGGATGGGTGGGAGCAGCCAGGATTGGTGGGGAGGTGAACATTCTTCCAGCACTGCCACATCATCAGGGGTGCTGTGTCCCCACCAGGATGCTGGGAATGGTGTCCTGGCTTCAATGGCATGTGTCCCCAGGGAGCGGGACGGTTGGATACTGGGTGGTGTGTGGGTGCTGACCATCTGTGTTCCTGCTGCCCTGCAGAGAGAAGTGTAGCACTTACCTCCCTGCGCCCTGCCA